TTCTTTTTCAGGTGAACGATGGCTGAGAACTTTGACAAAAGTGATTAAAAGTGCAGCACCAGAATCTGAAGGAAATTAAAAAATCGTTTTGTTGATAGAAATGGACGAGTGCTCCACTCGGATACAAAGACTTTTCAACAATTTAACAGGGAACCTCCAGCAAGGTTGACAATTACAAGTTTCCGTCAAAAGTTTCATGAAACAGGAAGCGTGCGAGATCGCAATTTCTTTTCAAGTGTTCTCAATGTGCTTGAATGCACTATAATACGTTGACCGCTTCGGCTATATTGGCCTCATGACTTTCCTAGGCCAAAGTCATTTTTATACCTATAGAAGAAGGTGAAGTACTCGACACTGTTGATCAAGCGATATAAAGGCTGTTACATGAATGCGTGAACATTCAGGCACGACGTCCACGACAAAGAACCCGCTCCATAGAAATGCTGCAAAAACAAAAACTCGAAAAGGACCTGAACAAGAAATGTCGTCAAAAGTCGCGTGTAACAAAGTAGGCCAAATAAACGACGAAAAGTAAGGAGGATATTCATGATAGAGAACCGTGGGAGACATGCTACCCTCCTGCGTAGTATTTTCGTTTGACCCTTTCAATCCTGACGGGATTCTGGAGTCCCGCATTTTCTGCGCATATGTTTCAGGGCTACATAGTAATGCACGACCTTGAGGCAGTGACGGGGTTCTGAGCCCTTGTTTACAGTAGTTCACCACAAGTTGGCAACATGATAGCAGTTCACAGTAATATAAAGCTGCTGTATTTCCTCTTGGGCTTCAAAAATGGTGCCATCATTTATATTGAATATTTATTTCTGCTTAGACATTTCTTTGCCAGCCATTTTTTTCTGTTTTTGCAAGCTAGACAATGGGAAATACTGGGAAACATACGACGTAAAATAGGGATATGAGTTCTAGCTAACTAATTAAATAACATGATTTTGTTAATGTATTTAAATAATTGAAATAAATATTTAATTTTACTCGAGGAAACCATTTTAAAAACACTTTTATGTTATATAAGCCTTGTTGAAGCACAAAAAGTAAATGGTATTTTCTCAATGCCTGGTACATCATTCAGGACTGAAAGGGTTAAACTGGTTTCTTGTGAGAAAAAGATTGATTGGAAGAAACGGCTAAAACTTCGATCGGTCGTCATCTCTAGTTATTTTGCTTTCGCAGGTTTTTCAAAGAAATATAAGTGAGCAGAAGATAGGTTACCAGCGAAATTGGGGGCGAGATCCAGATGATTGGCCATATAACCTGAGAAGACGGTTCCCTGACAAGCGCCGGCGAGCCCAAACATGGCGACGGCCATCAGCGAGTCGCATGAGGCTAATATCACTCCCACGAAGCACGCTCCCGTACCTGCCAAGGCTTCTCGAACATGAAACAACATGAAATTACAGCAAACTGCAGGAAATTGTCAGAACAGTGACAGTAGCCCTAGAGTAGTGTCGTGTGTTCGAGGCGACTGGCGAACTCATGCTTATATGCAGAGTTGGCAAAAAAAAGTAAGCCACTTTTTTCTATCGATGGACTTGAAAATGGAATCTTATGTTGCCAAATATGTTCTTCAAGAACCTAAAGTTGATGCGCCTACAATAACTCACGCTTGAGCTATAGCAGATTTTGTCAAAATTTTCAAAATTCTGAGTTAACAGAGACGCGATTTTCGAGTTCCAAATAATTTCCTGTTCACACAATTGATTTTTGCTTTAAAAGTCAGTTATTGTGATGGATCATCATGAAAACGTAACAGGACGTTGTCATATGTGTGCTTTTCATCATCTGAAAATGTTATGCATGAGCATCAAGTTTCAGGCATTTCCATGCATAGGTTACGACATTTTCCAGGCCTGACACCTGAGACGCATCAAAAGTAAAAAAAAAAAAAAATTCCCACACCATGCCTACGAGGCAAAACTGAATCAAGTACAATTCTTCAACACATAACATAGAGTGGATCTGGAAAAAAGTCTCACATTGATCTATCCTGCGACGTCATAAAGCAAAGAAAGGGGGATTTTTTTTTACGTTTTTTGTTACGCCTCAGGTGTTAAGACCGGAAAATTTAATAAAATTGCATGGAAATATATGAAACTTGATGAACATACATCACATTTTCAGATGATGAAAAACACATATGATAACGTCATGTTAAATTTTCGTGATGATCCTTCCACAAGAACTGACCTAGCAAAACGCAATTGTGAGTTCTTTCCACGAAAATCACATTCCTGTTCACTCAGAATTTTGAGTATTTTGAAAAAATCTGCTATAACTCAAGCATGAATTATTGTTGGCACATCGACGGATTTAAAAAAAAAATTTAAGGTTTTTAACTTTTCTTTGGCCAACCCTGTACTGTATATTCATTAGGGCTTCAGAGCAGATTAGCTCATTTGTTCAATTATTCAGCCTATTGGTACCATTTATCATCCTTTTATTTCCTGTTCCAATTCCTGTTCCCCATTACCCTCCACGATAATTATCGTCGCTGACGTCGCTTTAAAATAAGGATTTTCGCAAAAAACTCCCCTCTGCCGATAATTGATGATCGTGTCGGAAAGTCCCTTCTTCTGTCTTCAGATTTCCATACATGCAACACGTGGAGTCGATGCTGATCGCATTCAAAAACCCTACTGCATGGTCCCCAAGAACTACGACGGAGCCTGACGCCTATATCTACACCATTGCAATAGCAGACCGCGATAATCTTGATTTAATTTGTAAATCCTAGATGCAATCGTCTTAAAGTGGTCCCAAGAGTGCCTTCATCTCACTTTCATAGACTCCGAATTCGACTATGAGTGAAAGATTCAGAGGTAGTCCAAAAATGGACACATGGATACATGTACATGCGTTATTCAAGATGGTCGCAACCAAAGCGAGGCATGATATGTAACAGCCTACAAGTGTCATAGTCCAAGAACATAGTCCAAGAACGTCGCAATATCAAAAATTTAGAGTCCCCCATACTCTACATCCGTCGCGAGATATAAACTTGCAAGAAATGGAAAACAAAGACACGGGAAAGAGACAACTTTTTTGGTATACTTTTTCCAAAGTAAGCAGTGGTAATCGAATCGTAACCCAGTCCCCCCCCCCCCAAAAAAAAAAAAAAAAAACAGGTAAGGAAGTGTTCGCTTTTCAGATGTCACTGAACTCCAAGGGTGAGGGGCACAAACTCGATGTGCCAGGACTGCCGAGTGGTATTCTGGTGCTTCGAGGCATCCTACTCCTGTTCGTCCTGACACGTGGCTGGGAAGCGGTTGAAACGAACCAAGTGCTAGTCTTGCACAAAAGGGTGCCCATTTTTCTTCGTCGAAGTGACAATGAACCTGAGAGGGGCGTTTCATCAACCTTAAGTCTAGAACGCCAGGCCTTGACACAGTTGTATGTTTTTGTAACTATTCCAGACCAGTCTGTGACCTCAATTAATTTTCCTACAATGAATCAAGGTGTGAAGGTGAGATAGCTTCGAATAATATTTACTCTGGGCTTTGGTATACAATTGTGTGGTAAGGAAGATTAACGTGATTTTTTTTAAAATGCAATGTGTTTAAAACTCTATCTGACGAGGAGACCGTTCCTTTCCCCCTTCCCAACCAAATTGCACCTATACCACGTACTATCTGGGTTAAGAAGACTTCCTTCTAGACTTCCGCTTGGACTGCGAAGGATGGCATGCACATGCTATGGTGTTTTATTTTCATTCCTTGTTTCGACTGCGGCGGATGATGAAATGTCGATCGAAACATGGGTTATGCCATATTTCGGCTGTAACTAGCTTGCACAACAGTTGAATCTCATCCTGGAGCGATCTAAGTTGACTAAGATCAAGGCGACACTGGGCATTTTGGATCAAATAATCAATTTAGATCACTCAATTAATTTGTTCTACTAGGATCACTCTTGGATAATCAGGCTAAATTTGGGCCAACTTAGACCACTGGGTCACTTGGGTCAATTTTACTTGCGTCAATTTTGGCATGACCTCTTAAAAATCACTCTGTAATTCAAGTTATGAACTTCATTCCAGCTTTGACTGAGGACATGTCTGTTTACTCCGAGCTGGAGAGGATGAGATAGAGAATGCAGAGCGCGATATAAATGGCCTTCCAATGAATCTTATCTGGATAATAGTATGAGTAGGAAAAACATTCATTATTGATCTTTGTCCTGTAAGGTATGGTAAGGCCTCACTCGAATGTGGAGAACCTGGTGAAGTGCCTTCGGATCAGACCGAGATTACCTGAGTCTTCGCTTCATTTCAAAATGGCAGTTCAGTTGCAGTTCGGTTCTAGTTTTAGTTCAGAATTTGATATGACTGAAGTTTCACTGAGCACTTGTCTATTTACTACCTGTGCGATTAAAACTTTCAGGTCTGGGCGTTGATAAAGGCTCTAGAAGTCATAAAACTTCTCTGTCATGACAGCAAAAATGTTTGATCGCAAGTCTTAAATCAGTCACATTACATCTATGTGATCAAACTTGCAAACTAACAAGGACCATCGGGGTAATTTTTGGCAAGACCTGTCACGAATCACATTTCGTTTGTTTTTCAAGTGTAGTTCGCGCAAATGGCTGTGCCGTTCGATCGTCGACGATTTCATCTTGAAAGAGTTCTAAACACTTTCTGCTGCATTCGCAGTATATCATTCAGAACATACTTTTTTAAACTTAAAAGGTAAACCTTTTTTAAAAATTACCTGAAATAATTTAGTAAAAAGGTAAAAATAATGACTTTTTCGTTTCTTTTACTGAACTTCCAGGTGGTGGTCATCATGGAGGTTAATGATATATGGAGATGGACACATTTTCTTGCTTGGACTCACTGATGAAGACGGACATCTTGCGGACGGTCGTGGTCTGGAGAAGACCCTTCGTTCTCAGCCAGTCCATCACATGTCCGTAAATGTTCCCTACGATCCATTGATTTAAGGGAGGAAGGGCCGATAACAAGCCATTCTGCATCCAAAGGGAAATCATTTGGAAACCCAATCAAGGCACGCATCGTGCAACAACATCTTGAAGAAAGGGGTGGACGAGGTGAGTCCGACCTTTTCTATCTTGAATTGGAGAATGTTCTTCATGTACTTGGGCATCTCGGTGAGGAGGAGCCAGTAGCCCCAGTTGTTGCACGCGTGGGCCGTCAGCAGCGCCCAGAAAGGAGTCGATCTTATCACCGATTTCCACGGAAAGCTTTGAGCCTCCAAAAAGAAACGGGAAAAACCCAAGGCGAAATATGACAACCTTAAAACGAGAAATTATAATTATTAAGCGAATATGAGCTTACAAATGATGCGTGGTCGAAAATACTTTTTCCATACCAATTAAATACCAATTTAATGGTGCTTAATTAAAAAAAGGCTCTCTGAGAACCTGACATTAGGTTGCAAGGAACCCTTAAGAACTTAGTGATGTAGAAGGGAAGCATAAAACGCGAACTCGAGTCGATGCCCTTTGGTTATTAATTGCTACCGGCGACGTGACGGGTAACCTGCGAAGCTCCCCGATGCGATCGTATCTATCCGCAAACCTTTCGCTGTTCGGGTGAGTTGTGAGTGCCGAGTGCCTGCAGGATGTAAGTCTTCTCCTTGTCCGACATGTAAGGATTGTCCTCGGGAGTGTCAAAAACGAGAAGCATCCAGAGGCCGAACCAGATGAGGGACACAATCCCGATGATGTAAAACACCCACTCCCACCCGAGGTTGGAGATTATCACACCCGAAATCGGGAACGTGATCACCGTCCCCGCATGAGAACCTATGGGATTCCAAAAAGAATGTACCAGGAAAAATGACCTTTCGCTCTGCGAAAAGGTAAAAACCGATTGGGAGAGTATACTAAGTGTAGCATGTATAAATTAACTTCTATACTTGACCAGATTTGGTCCATGAAGGCATGAAGCACGAAAAACCGACCCATCTGATTTCATGTGTGAATGCACCCAGATCTTTCGAAACCCTTATAAACCTTTTTCGAGTTCAATCCTTGTCCACACAGAGCCCCAACCTAGCGTAGCTACTCTTTCAGGCAAATGTTCTCCAGAGAACGCATTCTCAATGCAGATGTCATTTAAAAAAAAGTGAAGTTACTCCTAAACTATGAGGCACGCTGTGTAGGAATAATGGAGGCACTGTTTTCGGGATATTTTTTTTTACCTGTATACTTTTTTCCATCATTCCCTGCCTTCTACCAGCCTATGACAGCAAATTTAGAACAATAGATTAACGGAAGGAAAAAGGCAAGGATCACTAAATCTCTAACTGGATATTTTTCAAGGAAGTATTCCTCCTGTCTGCATTATGGCGACGAAAACCCCCAACCAAGGTATAGGTTTCACCCGAGTTTATTTATTTAAAAAAAAATGCATAAGAAAATGTATTTTACCTGCGTATACGATGGCGGCCATCTTGCTCCTTTCCAAAGGAGGGACCCATCTGGCGAGCATGGCATTCATCGCTGGAAATGTCACACCCTGTCCGCATAAAGACTATCTACAATGACGTGATGGCATGGTATTCAATTGCCGCTTTACAATACCCACCGTTTTAAGTTACCCTTTTTCTCATGTAAATACCTCTGAACGGTGTTATACAGACCGTAAATTTATACTGAAAGCATTTGGTTTTGTTTTCAAGCGTATGTACCAGATGGCGAATAAAAAACTGTTCTATTTGACGCTTTATAAAAAAAAATACTGTTGGAATAGTAGGTTTGTATTTTGTCTCATTTTGCTGGAAAAAACCCTCAAATTTTGTTATCCGAAAGTTTAAAGTCTCTCGGTGCCTTGGATAAGGGCCACAGCTGGTTCAAACTCGAAGAACGGAATTCGGCTTTTGCACGTAGCGAGTTGCAACGGATTCAGCAGGATATCATTCTTCGCTTAAATGCCTGTTTCCTACGCCTGCATCATTTTTACACTGTTCTCGACTGTGCAATGTCATGATGTTGTAGTAGACAAAGGAAAACGTCATTGCGACAAAGGAATGCTTAAAAAAAAGGGCTGGAGAGAGAGGGACAAAACAGAGCACAGTCCTTTATTTCATTGGAAACTCATTAGACAATTCTCTTCCTTCTCTTAAATCTGCTCAAAGCACACCTTCATCGTATCCAGACCTTCTTATCTCGGCTGAGGCCTGAAGACAAGACAATAACGCAGCCAAAAAAATGTCTGTGTCGCCTGATGGGTGGAGAAGTTATAAAACCGCAGCTGCCAGCATTTCTTCGATGCGCAGGGCGAGTAGAGGGGTCTTAGAAGCGAAGTCAGTATGTGTGGAGTTCAAACTCCTGTTTTCCTAATTTTTCTCTTGATTTTCTCGTTTCGACTGACAAACACTCCTCCTTCCGTTATCCCCTTTATGCAAGCTCTTCCCTTGGTTTTTTTCTCCTCCATCCCTTATTGGTTTCACCCTCTAAGGTTGCTCCCTTCGCAAGTGCTCTCCCTTTTTCACGCATATTTACAACACGTATGCTTTCTTAGAAACAACCACCGATAATCGCTTTCATGAGGTACTGATGAGTGGGGCCATTCGATAGCATGTAGTCAGTAGATGCACGAATAATATTCGAATATATTTCCGATTTCGTTCTCATCCACCCTCGCATAATCCCCCTGTATCTCACCATTTCTAGTTGTTCATTATTTTTACTGACAAACTATGTTTCTTTCTTTCCGTGCTGGTAAGGGCGATTCTCTGGTGCCCGAAAAATTTTTCCAGACGAGATAAGTCTGCCCTAGAATCCACGGCTCAATTTTGTAGCGCGTAACTTCTGGAATGACGTGACGAAGGAGCTAATAAGTCAGACTTTCACCTCGAAGGATCAGAAGAAAAAAAGAGAAAAAGTCTGACTTACCTCTCTTTTCTCGCGCATCATCTGTAGAAAGGGATAAAAGAGGACAAGCGAGACTTATTTCCCTCTTCTCGGGTTCCATTCGTATCGCCTGCAATTCACGCATCATAGAATTTCTGCTTTAGAAGCGCTCAGACAGTTTTCATATGAGATTCCTGCACTGCTCCATTGTGGCACTAATGAGATGTAGTTGCAGTGAAGTACTGCATCTATCTTAGCAAATAAGGTATGTGTGGACTCTTCCTGACCCACAGATGCATATTTTAGCAGTGCCTCGGACCGAACGAGCCCGGAAAGTATTGAAAAGTACTTGTACTTACAATTGCAAAGTCCATAGACTGCCCTAGGGAAAAAACTATCAGATGAATTTCAGTCAGTGAGGCACCAGTATGACTCGTCTTGACGGAGTTCGTTTCTTCAATCTCAACATCTGAGCAGTACACTGACAGTAATGAAAAGTACTTAAGGAAGTACTGAATCGATGTGAATAATTGAAGTATGTCCTGATTCGTCGAAAAGGTGGAGCTTTCTGGGACACCTTCAACTGATCAAGTATTTAAAGTACCGAAAAGTATTTCATCATCTTTATCATGAGCCGTTTTTTGTCCAATGCCGGACGGTCTACCTTTTATACGTCATTTCTCCCATCCCCCATCTTGAGCCCCTCCGATAGAGTTGACTCGTTCGAAGCTTTTCATTTCATCGCTCTATCCTTTCATCGGTCTTCCCCCGAACGTATTTCCTCTTTCAATTTCCGTTCTGTAACAGATTTAGCTCATCGCTCGTGAGCCCTTCGGGTTATGAGCGGGTCTCCAAGCACTATTCTCCGTGTTCTGCACTCGCATCTCTTACTCCATCCAAACGATGTTTTTGTCTCTTATTCCTCTGCATCGTCTTCACCTTCTCCTTCATTGTCTTTGCCGACGACCGAGTCTCCAATCCCCACGTCATGGCGGGTAATACGCATCGATTCCAGACTTTCTATTTCCAACACGTGGGTTAGTTACTCTTCGTGACAGCATTCATCTTGCCTGACGGATGCTCCATCCAGCTCTTTCCCTCTTTGTTAAGTTGCGTAGGTCCCCGTTCATCTCGAGAGGTCGTCCACGATAGACGAACTCTTCCGTTTATACTAGTCTAATGCCTCCCACACATTCATCTGTCATACAACTACTTTTATCTCGTTTATATTAACCTTCAATCCAATTCTGCAATTTTTTGTAGACAATAGATCGATCATGTGCTGTGCTTTCGCTAGCGTTGCCAAGTACTAACGAATAGGATGCTTCGAAATATTAAGAACTAGCTGGTTTGTTTACCCTCGGGCAAACAAGCTCGCTGCGCTGCGAGGTGCAACGGAAGTTTTGTTTAGTAACATGGGGTCCCTCTACAACTTTATATTGACACCCCAAAATTTTGATTCCTTTGGGAGGTCTGTAGTAGTGAATCGGCCATATAAGTACTGTACTAAATATGTACTAAATAAGGTACCCCGGGGGGTCCGAAATTTGAAACGCCACCCAGCCTATGACCATCCCCGGACCAAATGAGGAAGCCATGCAAAATTTGGTCGGACTGGGATCAGAGGCGTGGTCCTGCGTAAAAGACAGACAGACACACACACAAACACTCTGAAATATAGTATAGATATACAAACATACGAATACGACATATAAAGAGCACACTAAAGCCACAACTTTCGATTTGGTCTTGACATGTCATAAGGCATTTACGGATATGTAGCACCTCTGTAAACAAAAGATGATTCAATTAGGACAAATTTTAATTATAAAAAGGGATGCTAATTAGACTGAGCCACTAGCAACGAAACGACACTTGCGGACTTCACGAAATTTCACTTTTCATTTCAATAAATTTCTGTAGCTGGGAGAAGACCTATTGCCTCAGAGGTACAAGATGTTGCAATTCTTTAAGAAATCGGGGAAAAGAGGGATAAGTCTATTACATAATATTATTGAGCCGCTAAGTACCCTAATGTCCTGGCAAACTATACAATTCACGATGGACGAAGTCATTAGGCAAAAATATTGTTTGTATGATCACCACTTCAACATGCGTAAACTTGTAAACCTTTATTTGCTTTTCTGCTGCCGAACAAGTAGCATTGGATGACATCCCCCCTTTCCCACGCACAAGTTATGATATAAGTGCTCTTTGGGTCTCACCTCACAGACACCGATGAGTATCCGAACGGCTAGGAGGAGGAGGTGGTGGACTCTGGCAGCGAGGGGGGTGAGCAGTGTCAAGAGGGCAGCTACCAGAAGCGGGTAAGCCAGAACCCGTTTCCCGCCTAGGATCTCCCCAAGGCGACCTCCAATGATCTGGGTCGTGATGTAGCCGAAGAACAGCGACCCCAGGATCAACGACTGCTCGCTTTCACTCCATACGAATTCTCCGTCCTGCTCATGAATAGTTTGAAGACCTTGTAGAGCCTTCTTCCAAGCGTCGAAGGTCCACGCGGAAGTTTATTCAGCATACGAAATAGCATTGGGTAGTCTGCGGACCATGTGCTGAGTCACGATAGAACCATAAGATAATAGACGAGCTGCATATTTCAAACGCAAATTCATACCTGTCTAGGTTCCCCTCCCATCTCACTCCACTTTTTGTCTCATATACCAGTGAGATGCTCTATCCATTCGGCACAACAACGTTGTGTCAACGTTGAGGAAAGGTTGATTTTTGTAACTTAACATGTTACCACAATGTTGTGAAAAGGTTGAAATGAAACACAGCTCAACGTTGAAAAGTTGCGGCTGTGCAACGTTGTGTCAATGTTGAATAGTCAACGTGCGGTATATTGTAGTGTCTCCTCCCTTATCCAGAGTCTGAAAGAGCGTTAATTAGCCGATCATCCCACGTAAAGGACCCTCAAAGGTTTATTTCTTTTACGGGATCAGAATTCGAGTTGAGTACTTAAGTGACTCAACCCGATCTGTCCAGCAGAGGAGACAACCCCGGAGGAATGTTTTTATACTCTTTCTTATTGAGAGTGCCTCCTATGTCTCCTCGAGCCCACTGGCCAGAAGTACTTTGAGTCTCCTTCTGCTGTATTACCTCCTTAAACAGGTCATTCTAGAAATTCCTAAGCCTTCCCTTATGTTGTACATGGAAAGAGATCGGGTTCTGTATGAATTTATTTTCTATGACAAATAAAGTCCCGTGGTTTCTCATTCTTAGCGACTTAGCCGCCAATCCGCGGTAGAGCACAGCTAAGCATCTCGGATAAAAGACGACTATATCACACCTATTGAGGTGTATCAAACAACAGTGAGACTATGATGAGAAACGAGTTTGCGCTTAATAGCCTCTGAACGACTTCGATAATTCACGAATAGTCACCAAACGCTGAAAATACGGTTGGGTACGAATAGCTAGCATTTCATCGATATTGATTCTTCGTTAAATTCTCAACCAAGTCTCAACGTTTCAACCTTTCCTCAATGTTGACACAACTTTGTTGTACTGAATGGGTATATAGTTTGCTCGTATACCCTATGCTTAACTGTAATGGAAAGAAGTTCCCACTATTAATTGAAAGTATTCTAGTTATAAGGAAAATCTGGGCAATCCGGAGTGAAAGAAATTAGGTTTCAAATTATGTACAGTAATATATTTTACTGATGCACACACCCACACAAACTTACGCTTCATCTTTTCTCAGTACCAATGGAAACATTTGTTCGAGTAAATGACAGATGGCAGGCTTGCAGCTCAAACACTTCATAACCTTATTTTTACCTATTGCTCTTGACCTCGTTCGCCGATTGGATCGAGCAGATGAACATTTTTATTTCGCAATTCGATGTCTATCCAATACACCCATGACGTCAGAAGACACGATAGACAACTTTTATCTTCCATTGCAAAATTAAAATTTTCGAGAAAATAAAGAAATCTGTACGTCGTTTCTGCCCCATATAGATTTTCGAAACGTATTTTCCCTTTGAGAAGGATAAATCCTCAGATGCAGAGGAAGCAGTTTGAAAATTTTCAGCGCTCTACAGTATATTCAGCAGTTTGGATCCTGGAGCGCTAACAGATGAACAGATGGACAGATGAACGGACAGACAGACAAAAGACGATGTGCAATCTTCTGTGGTAGTAAATCCTTTTTTTCCGCATGTGCTATATATTGAAACTTCGTTCCATAAGCCATCGGGTTACCTCACTCCGGTTTGAACAATTTATTGGACATTATTGACTGGGATATACGGAAAATGAGAAAGAAAAAAAGAAGCCTAACGGCGTTGTATTATTTTAGGACTGGATATTTTCAGTATCATTTCCCTGTTTGTGTATCCATGTTCTCGGTCTTAGTAGAGCGTCCCAAGNTGGGATATACGGAAAATGAGAAAGAAAAAAAGAAGCCTAACGGCGTTGTATTATTTTAGGACTGGATATTTTCAGTATCATTTCCCTGTTTGTGTATCCATGTTCTCGGTCTTAGTAGAGCGTCCCAAGAGGCTAGAATGACCCCAATTCAGAATATTTTGTACCTGGTTACCAGTGGCGGCTCGTGATATTTAGCGCTAGTGGTTCGTCTATGGAGAGGGGGTAGGCAGCGCCCTCCCCTGCCTACTCCCTCTCCATAGACGAGCCACTAGCGCTAAATATCACGAGCCGCCACTGCTGGTTACTGTCATACTTTATTTCATCAGTGAAGTAGTGCATCAAGGAAGATAACGGTGCTTCTCTGATGATAAGTACCAAGTCGATTTGGCTTCAATTGTTTTCGTAGTCAGAATGAGAATCCATGAATACTAGCTTCACTAGTTTAATTTTAATTCCTATGGAATCCCATTTTGAAATTGACGCAATTCACATTAGCTAGATTCCATGCATGTCATCATCTGAAAGCTAGAAAGCGAGGAAAGGTGATCACTTCCTTCTCGTCGGAGTTGCCATCCCCTTGGCAACGGTCAGCGATGGAGTCCTGGCCAGTGTAGTTGAGGGCAGGGGAATTGACGGCCGTGTGGTTCACCATGGCCACTATTGCCAGGCTCATGTTGATCCTCATTGCGTAGTTGACGATAAAACTCAGGAACCCAAGCATCGCCACCACGTACCGAGCCGGGATCACTGAACCTGGGTCATTTATAAGGTCTCACGTCAAAATTTATTTTAATCTTCAATTATTCGGCAGTGGGAACACCGATTCGAATATGGTCTTTACCAAAGGTCTAGGATCATTCTGTACCCAGCTACCTCTTCCCAAGCTTGCTTTTCACATATGACCAGATTGTATTTCCCTTTTTAAAAAAAATTGTTTTCTTATGTTACATAATCTGGTGGTGCTTCACGGAGTTATTATAATATACATGTAGAATAGTAAGACAGACATTCGATTCGAGTGTAATATTTTCCCAGGTCTCCCACGAACTCGATTATCAGATGCGCATTCCTCAGGGATCAATGGCAACGGACAAGAATGGGACTCACAGTGTATCATGCTTTTTTGCGCAGATTAGACGGTAATCACTTCCAGGTGCACAAACGAAACGCACACCTTAGGTAATTCTGTTATAGGTATGCACTTGTACTTGGGGAAGATGGAATGGAGCATGCTGGAACGATGCAAGATTCCATATCTCGAGTACCTGTTTCAGAAGGAAATGTATGAGGCCCCTATTCATGAACTGCACTTGCTTCGCAGTCGTCTCTGCGTGGAGGGCATCCTTGGAAATTTGTATTCATAACCGTCACTCACACTCAAAGCTGCTCTCAAATTGCAGTGAGATATGAGTCCTCTGATCCTCTCTTGACGTCACACTCGCTCATTACGCCAGCATCAGCTTCATGCCTATAGTGTCAGAAGGTCGAGTTGGGGTCCATGTGTACATCAAGTGCGCATTGAATCGATTTGCACGGAACAGTTGACAGCATCGCCGGTTGCATTTCATGTACCGTAGGACCATAATTTACCCAAGCCAAAAATGTTGAGCGACGCAGCAATCCGATGATGAAATTAAAAAGAAGGCTATCTTCCAACCCCATCTTTTGACGATGTTTTGAGGAATTGGAGCTGGCCCTATCGCTACGATTGGGCATCATTCTCGTGTATACAAACCGGAGATGTCGGATTGTGGTAGGCCTATAGCAAGCGCCTGTAGGGAAAGCCAGTGTTACTGCAAGAACCACAATAAAAAGAGAACTAGATTCGCCTCCGAAAAGTGCATATAAACAGCCCACCATCCTGTGCAGACGAGGAATCAGTGGTGACCGAGGAGAGGCACACCGGTCTGTTACTGTATGCCACAGCGAAGCCCGGAGGTCGAGGACTTCTGCTATCGATTGCAGTAATTCTGATGGAAAGTCTCGAGGAGAAAACTTCTTCCCTTTTTAAGGCTCACAAGTCGAACCCGGACAGGCGTTCGATCAGAAATTATTTGGCCCCTCAACGTAAAGGATGCGAAACATGATAGGCCAAAGAGAAACCTAGGCCTATCCGATCTCATATCCCTAAAGTGGATGAATGAATACTTGGATGGATTCATCAGCTTCATTAACTATGGTCTTCCCGATGTGAATAAATAACTACCGATTGGAGGAACAATACATTTTCATATTTGGATGAAAGTCATTAATGTGTGGCATCGTAAGAAGTTTATATTGATTCCTTTGAAAATATGAAAAATTATGAAAATCTGTGATTGGGTACCTATACTGATTCTATAGATCTAATGTGATTATGTTTTACATTGCGAAGCGAAGAGCTGAAAACGTCGGTTAGAGTTCATATAATTGTTACTGAGACACCAAATGTCCCATCTTTACAAGTAGTTTGCTTTCTCTTTTTTTTTGCAGTGATGGTTTGCAGTTAGAGTTATAAGGGTCGGTGGATGTGACAAGAAGCTTCTGGTCTTTGCCCGCGATCCCTCTCCTCCTGTCTCCCGGTATCACGATAGAATACGGTCATCTGCTAGGACAAATGCATTAGGTGAGATGCTTCATCCTTCTAGAGTAATGTATAAAAGTTAATACAGCATTAGAAAGTCTTTCACTATAAGTGAAAACAAATACAGAGATGGAACCGAGCGAATGAGCCATCATATGCCTTCAGTACCCATGAAGACCCATTTCGGTCGGTATGATAAGCACGGTTCCTCCCCTTATCCTATCGGCCGTTCCTTGGGTTCTTTCGACCTCTCATGCCGTCCGACTCCCGAAGTTCCCCTCCGTAACAATATGCATTCTTTCTTCGCAAAATCTTCGCATTCTTCTCAGTCCGCCAGGCCTCATTCACTCTTTTTCTCCGAATTAGACAGACGTGCTCCAAAAATCTAAGAGAAATGGCCAGGAGATACATACACCACAATGGCACTAGCCTGTGGTTATCATCAGCAGCGGCCAAGATCGCTAGCTGCACCTGGTCGGCCGTGTTGATACGCAGAGATAAAAGGCACCGCCTTTGAGTGGCGTATCGTGTTTTATTGATGCTCCTTAGTGGCAGTCTTCCACGCACCTCCAACTTGAAAGCATCTCATCCCAGAATCTCTCCTGCTGTCGCTCTCCCCTGTTCGCGCTCGTCTAGCTGTGGCTGGAAAGCATACAGAATGGACAGAAAAGCGAACTCATCATTGCGTGAATTCCCTCGCTCCCTCGATCGAAGCCATGTCAATAGAGTGCGTGGCATCTGGCAAAAAACTTGCGAGGTCAGAAAGTGACACGCCATCCCTCTAGCATTTTGACAGATGAAGTGCCTCCTAGATGAAATCTCAATAATCTATAATCGCCAATGAATTGTTCTTATCAGTTCCACGTATACTCAGCATTCTTACTACAAGGACGGCTGACATAGGTCAGCCAGATAAGAAATAGTGCTCAACAAGGGGGCCCATTCTCACAACCGCCACATCTTACTGTTTTAATACAGAAAGTAGGTCTACATGTATGCAAAAAAATTACACTTCCCAATATGGCAACGACGTTGAAGGAATTAAAAAAAAGCATAGTCATCATCCATGCACACTTATTGGTATGTCCATTTAAAGCTTCATACATCAAACATTTTCGTTCAGGGAGATGACACCCGCATGTGCAACAAAACTGTAATGCTCAAGATGGAGGCAAGCAGAAAGGATTCAAAGCGCAGGCTCATCTTCGCTAGCAAAAAAATATAGTCCTGCCAATATTCAATTTCATTCGCCAAACTGTACGGGTACATGGCGATGATGAGTAAATATGCCAAAATAATTTTTTTCCAATGCTCAAGATCGCGACCACTTATGAGGGGAACAAGGAACAGGGTGATAGCCACCATTCGAGCGAAATTCCATGATGATTTTCTGCACTCTGCATTCTGCCGTTTCGACACAGGACAATACGCGTAAAAATCTACATAGATTTATGACAAAGTTGTTCAAGAAAGTTTTCAGGCGTGATGAAATTAATTAGACGCAAGGGCTTCCCAAACTTTTTTTTTCTGTAAGGAAAACCGGTCGGGAGAAAGCATGGCAAATACGGTGATTGTGCCCTCTTCTCTCTTTGTCAATATTTAGGTCAAGTCTACAGAAGGGTCAGCCCTGAGTTCACCATGAAGCGCAGTCGGGATCACATCAGAGTGGTGTTTCATTAGTACTTGAGAGAAGAAAGAGCTTTGCTCTCCTTAAACAGGCACTCGGGGATCTTGCTTCCAAAAAGGGTAATGGTTTTAGACTGGTTTCGAGAGCTCAAAGGTCATCTATTCATCTTCAAAGACGAACCATGTTTGGCCGCTCTCTGGTAGTGGTCACGGAGGAAAAAATCCAGGTTCTTCCATGCACGATTAAGTCTGCCCTGAAGTGCACCTGCAGGAAGTTTGATTGTTGAAATTGGAGGCTGTAAGCGTGACCTCAAGTTTGCATGAAAAGTCCAAGGTTTTAACACTTTGAGTCCTGACAATTTGAACTCGCTATGGGCGTAGGATGTCATATGACGGCTGCAGGGCTCAAAATGTTAAATATCATCGATAGGTGAGTGTCTCATAGGCTTTTCTGTGAACAATGAGCAATGCGCGCGAAATGGTGCCTTTCATGTTTAGAAGATTCAATGAAGCGACGATTCCAGGATTGTATATGGACACGAATCGAGGGTCTACAAGTTAGACATGGAAACTTTTTTGGGCAACAAGCGTCAAAGGTGGGAGGAGTATGACGGAGCTATTAGTGACAATTTTCTTCTGTTCCAGTGGTCACATCGCCATAGTTCCGCCAATGAAGCAAGAAAGAGTGACATTAGAGTAGTATCGTACAGTGTACTTGCCAGAAGTGCTATGAAATATGCAGGGGAAACGAGGGTTCCAGCAACGAGTGGCTTCCGCTCTTTGAGCAGTCACTACGACTATCAAACCACACAGCTGCAATATTTTTTTTTGTTAATCCCTAGTCTGAAGGCTACTCCATCCACCCTTTCGAAAGCAGCTCCTTCTTCTCCCTAATACAATTCTGAACAGAAATAAAATTATTGAATGGAGTTCGCGGATTGCACAGTTTCCATGCCATCTTCACTCGGGGCATGTCCAAATACTGCACTCAGTCTTCGAGCATGCCATTTTCTTAGCTTTCCATCGCATTTCGCCTCTTTCACATGACTAAGAACTGCAAATGGCCCAATTGTTGGTTACAAAAATAAAATGCATAACATCCCTTGCAAATGTATGTATGAGTCTTGCTCTGCCTTCTGTTAGCAACGGGGGGAATTCCCCCCGTTGGTCCCCCCTTCTATTAAGAAGGCAAAGCAAGACAATCACTCATACATTTTAAAGTGTGAATTCGTCCGACCCTTATTATCACACTGAATATATCTCCGTTAGTGACTTATATGATAGGTTCCAACTCCACTCTGTATGCCCACAGATGAAAACATTTTCCGGTCAGGAAACATGCGATCTCCTGGCCTCCTGCCAGATTACGGATGGACTCATCGGGTTTGATTGCTGCCCATAAATCCCGTTACAGTTTTTCTGAGGCAATTTTTCGAGAATTCTGGATCGTTTTTCGTTTGTTCCTCGCTTTTCTAGAGTCCCATTTCACACAAAAACAATTCTTTGAACCCTAGGGAGGGAGGTGTCACCCC